CCTCTCCTTGTTTGAAAAATATTTAGTTTTCACAAATAAAAACTGCATATATTTAAGGTATACAATGTGATGTTTTGATATGTGCATGTGAACTGTGAAATGATTACTACAATCAAACTAATTAACATATCTATCACCTCCCATGGTTATCATTTGTGTGTGTGTGTGTGTGTGTGCGCGCGCGCGCGCGGTGAGAACAATTGAGATCCATTATTTTAGCAAATTTCAATTATATAATACATTATTTTTAACTACAGTCACCATGCTGTACCCTATGTTTCCGGAACTTATTCATCTTATAACTGAAAGTTTGTACCCTTTGATCAATATTTCCACTTTTGCCCCACCCCCTCCCCGAAGCTTCTAATAACCACCATTTACTCTCTGTTACTATCATTTGCCTTTTTTTAGATGCCACATATAGTGAGATCCTGCAATATTTGTCTTTCTGTGTCTGGCTTGCACTTAGCATAATGTCCTCCAGGTTTACTCATGTTGCTGCAAACAGCAGGATTTCTTTCCTTTCCTGAATACTATTCACACACACAGCACCTTTTCTTTATCCAGTCCTGTCAATAGACAAGTTGTTTTCACATCTGGACTATTGTGAATAACGCTACAGTGAATATGGGAGTGCAGATATCTCTTTGAAATAGTGATTATATTTCTTTCAGATATATACCCCAAAGTGGTATTGCTGGGTCACCCTGGGAGTTCTGTTTTTAATTTTTTGAGGAACCTCCATCCTATTTCCACAGCGGCTGCACTGATTTACATTCCCACCAACAGTGCACAAGGGTTGGTTCCCTTGTCTCCACATCCTCACCAATACTTGTTATCTTTGGACTTTTTGATAATAGACCTTGGCAATAACCTCTTAACAGCTGCTCTTCCTCTGGCATTTGGGGAGAGCCCCGTAATTGGGGCTGCTAGGCAAACCCACTGTGGGTTCCATGTCTTCTAAGGAAACACACCCCATTCCTGCCCCCTGTACTTGACACACCATAAAACTGACCTTCAGGGTTGTGATGCCATTTCCAGAATGGTTGGCGTCCAGCCCAAAATGGTCTCCATGACTACAGCTAAGGAGAGGTTTGTTGAGCCAACTTTAATACTAATGAGCAGTGTAGTAACGGCCTTGCAATGTTGGCACATCAACCACTTTCTCTTCATCTCTTAGCACAAAATAGACTTACTAATTATAAACTAAATGATCTGTTTTATTATTTAACGAAAGTACTAAGTACAGTGCCTTATGTCTTACTTTTTGCTGATACACATTCTTGGGTGTGTTTTTCAATAGGGAGCCAATACTCAAGTCATATAAACTCTAGGGACTGTAATTCCATCTTAGGAAAAAAAAAAAACAAAACAGAAAAGAAAAACAAAAAAAAGAGCAAGACATTTCCATTACTCCTTGACTTCCAGAAGGAGGCCTCTATTTTTGTTTCGCTCCCTTTTAGTTTAGAGGCTATACTGGGCACTGTGAGTGGCTCTAATTTGCTAGTAAGAGATTTGCCCTTTGGGAGTCAGGAGTTTGGGGTAGAACTGCACAACTGGACAACTAGATACCAGAGCTGGGTTTGGTCTAAACTGACTAAGTAGGGGAGTGGGACAGGCAGCAGTATGTGTCTGGAAGTTTCATAGTCCAAGAAAGAGCTTTCAGACTCAGCCATGAGGGCCCCCTGAGAAGCACAGAGGCTGGCTAGGAAGTGTAGAGGTGAGCCAAGTGTGAACAAGGCCGGGACAAACCAGAAGTTCATTTGAATTTGGTGACAGGATAATGATGGGGTTTAAAAACTTCCAAGGAGCTAATCAAATGTTTTTTCTTTCTTTCTTTTTTTTAAAGATTTTATTTATTTATTTGACAGAAAGAGAGAGAGTGAGAGCACAAGTGGGCAGGGAGGCAGGCAGAGGGAGAGGGAGAAGCAGGCTCCCCGCTGAGCAGGGAGCCTGATGCAGGACTCAATCCCAGGACCCTGGGATCATGACCCGAGCCAAAGGCAGACGCCTAACTGACTGAGTCACCCAGGTGCAAATCTTTTTTCTTACATCATATGAGCCAAATGCCAATTAATTCCAAGCAGCTACTTTCCATGGTAATGTTTGGGATGTTTGCTTATTCACTACTTAATTCAAATCCTAAAGTCATTCACTGAGCTAAGTGGGACAATGACTCTAGAGCCTGCAAGGACATTTTAGTGTGCACACATGGAGAGAAAAACAATGCTTAGCACTTGGGGCCACAGGAGGGTGCTCTGAGCAGAGGGAGTGGGCTCTTGGAAGGAGGCCTCAGAAACAATTACAGGCCCACAAAGGAAAATGCCACTGTGGCTGGCTTGCATGCTCCATCAGCAAGATACTTAAAGCTGGGTTACTGACAATATGAATTTATGTTTCATAGGAAGGAAAAAAAAATCTGGTTATATCTGAAGGTTTCACATACCTGAGCACCAGGTTTTAATGGTTTGGAAGTGTAGATAATGTAGAAATGACAATCATTTACATGACTAGGAAGAAAGAAAATCAACACATTGCAAATTCCCACTTACTTAGAACACAAACAAAGCAAAAAGGCCAAATAGCAGATATTTGTGTGATGTCTACACAGTGTGCCTCTTGCTTTAAAGGGCCCCTAATGCTGGGGCGTCTGGGTGGCTCAGTTGGTTGAGCATCCGACTCTTGATTTCAGCTCAGGTCATGATCTCAGGATCTTGAGGTTAAGCCCCTGAGTAGGGCTCTGTGCTCAGCGGGGAATCTGCTTGAGATTCTTTCCTTCTGCCCCTCCCTCTGCACTCTCTCTCAAATAAATAAATAAATCTTTAAAAAAAAAAGAGTCCCTAATGCCAAGGAAATAAGTGATTATCAGGGATTTGACCTAAAGAAACTTTTAGTTATGCCATATGCATTTATATTTTGGTTTCCTTTAAATTTTACTGTCTTGGTATTGTATTATGATAAATAATTCAAGGACTTCAGAGTTTTAGGGGTTTTTATGGGTAGAAATTAGGGCTCAGAGAGGGGTTTAAGTGACTAGATCAGGATCCCAGAGCTAACTGGGGGCAGGCCAGGGCTTAGGCACATGGTCCAGGAAGTCTCAAGATGGGGCCAATAGTCACTGAAGAGAGACTAAATTACATAAAATATGATTTTCATTTTAAATATATTTTAATAGAACAGATTTTTTTTGAAAATCTGTAAAAAACATATAAATGAAATAGCTCTCAAACAGATATAGATAATAAATAAACTATAAGCTCCATCCTCTCCCCGAGATCATTCTGGATAATTGGAAGTTTCCAAATATTTCCAGAGAATTCCAGAATTGGAATAAACTGCAAAGGCATTCTTGCTGCCCATCTAGAGGAGAAGGGGTCTTAACATTTGATGAATGCCTACTATGGGATAGAGACCATGCTGAGAACTTCTATGTTTATCATCTCACCTAATGACAGGTTAAATATTTGCCCATTGATGTAGATGAGGAAAATCCAGCTCAGGATCACACCACAGCTGCCATTCCTTGGCCTTCCCACATTAGTTGATACATAAGTTTCCCTCCCTACACCAGCCCTGAGTACATTATCTGCAACCGATTTGTCCTTTGCCTCTGGTACTGGGATCTTTCTAGCTATCTAATTCCTAGGGGTGTGAGGAGTGTGGTACTGGAGCCTTTCATGTGGGTACATAAAAAAGAAGAATGTGAAAATGTTGAGTGCTGATGCAATCCTCACTCTTAGCTGGCCTCTCTCTTGTTCTGCAGGGCTAACAGTGATGTTGTTTAACAAGGGACTGGATCTGGGGACCCCCTCCGACCCCTGTGACTTGTTTGCATATTTGTTTTTTATGTTGAATTTGGATGCCTTTCTGTGGAGCAGGTGCTTGCCCCACCTCATCCTAGTGTCTTATACGCATCCTGCTCTATTCATTTTTATTATTTGCCAGGCCTCTGGAGGCATTTGGGTTTGTGACCCCTGGGATTTAATGCTAGTGGTACCATTAGCACCTCCCATCAGGGTCATGGGGTCTCTGGTGTCTTTCAGAGTCGCTGTGGGCCACTGCCCAACTCTGGGGCTCCAGTCGCACAGACTATAGATTTGAGTTGTACCTCTGGGAACTGTGCAGTGCAGAGCCTGCACGACAGGTGGTGGTGGCCCTAGTGTTATACACTGTATAGATGCACAATGACAGATTCTGGACCTGAACACAAGGGTAAGGCCGCTCAGTGTTACCCTTGGTCCCATGTAAATGAAGGGGAGCGAAGATGATGGAAATAGAGGAATTGTATACACAGTTCAAAGGGTGACCAATTTCATGTTTTGTCATTATGAAGCCCATCTTTTAAGTTCCTGCAGCTTAGGCCATCCAACTGAATGGATGTTAACTCTCAGCAGAACGGGTCCAGCTACTAGTGTCCCTACAGCACAGATATAACTGTACTCACTGAAGTAATTAAGAAACATGAGTAGGGTATTTTCAACAATGGTGAGAAAAGCAAGTTTGCACTTCTTAGAATCCTACCATATTAACTGTGAAAATTACTGATTGCTTTTACTTTTCCCCCCAAGCAAGGCAGGTGCTGTGAATACTCTCATTCTTTTACTCTCAAGGGAAATCAAGTGCTCCTTCAACCATCTGAAAGAGAAAAATCATAGCCACAGTCCCAGTGACTCAGATCCCACATCTAGGACTGTAGCAAACTTTTGCTGTCCTACTCAAAACCTGAAGAGTAAGTGAACCAGAAACTACGAGTGGCTGTGAGCCACAGGTGAGGTGAGGCTCCCCGACAAAGATGCTCTGCTCAGATTCATGCCTCTGAGATTTTAAGTGCATCAGATAGAAACTGGCTCTGCGGCAAACCTAATAGTGTTGATGACTTGGACATCAGCCCCTGAGCAGGAATGGGGCCCAGGGTCCACCTTTTAGCTCCTACTTAGCCAACTGTCTACAGGTTGATAAACCTCCATGAGCAACCACACGAACAAACCAAACTACCGTACCTCCTCAGGCAAGCTGACCACCAAGTCATTTTTCGTCTGTCCAACCAGCGCCTGCCAGAAGTATTCACTGCATGCGGCCAGCACAGCCCGGTGGGCCCGGAACTCCTTCCTTTCCACAATCAGAGTCACGTCACAGAGAATATCCTTTTTCCGCTGGTCATTGAGGCCCAGGAGGATGTTGGTGCAGTGGACTGTGGACTCATACACATACATGGGGGAGTCAGGCTTCTCATCCACAGACATGCCGTTCACACCCTGAAAGAGAGAAAGGTGGGGTCACCAGAGCTACCTGAGTCAGATACAGAAGGTGAGAAGAATGTCACAGTTCCTGCGTCCCACGGCCATGAGCCAGGCAAAAAGGAGAATTGTCCTTTAGCATATTCATGCTCAGCACAGTGAGCTCAGAAAACGTATCTGGAAATTCATGTTCAATGGCTGACTTTTATCTTTCCTTTTACTGCGTGCTTTTACCCCATGGAAACAAACAAAGCCAGGTCCCTTAATGAAACACCCAAAACATTTAAAACATATAGGTACTCTAAGATTTAGTAGTTTTGATTTTGCTATCCGACTGAAAAAGGAACTTCCACATACACATGGTCCCGATTCAAGTATTGATTGAGCTTTGTGTTAAGGGGAAATGAATCATTTTGAAGTGTTTACTATGCTCTCTTGACAAAGTACACGTAAACTCCTAGGTTGACGTTTGGCTAAGATGCCAAGCAGAGTAAATACCTAATCACAATACATAATCGAACAAGTGAAGTAAACGGTATGTGTACTACAGAGTCGGTAGAGCGAGCTATCACGATTGCCCTCCGCCACTTCAGGACAAAGCACAATCAACGGAATGCTGTTGTTGCTCACGAAATGCTCTTGAAAAGAAGTGGACTTGTGCTGTCATTATCCCAGCAGACTTGATATACATCCTCTTTAAGGAAACACAATATATCACATTAAGAGTCATAAAAAAAGATGTATTCCACAGTGAAGATTACTTTACAAAAGGGTTCTTTGCTTCAAGAAGTATCCACTGATGTACTTTAAAAAGTAGTGTCTATAACTGATTTACATAACATAGTTTTTCAGGAATGTCTACTACTAGTATGAGTTCCAATAAAGTTTTACTTTCCTTTTGGCTTCATTCTTATTTATTTTAATAACTTTAACCCAAGATAAATTGCATATAGTTATAGTGGGTGGTTTGATATGTTTTAGCATACGTATGCATCACAATCAAGACAGGGAACATACCCTACATCAATCACCAAAAAAATCTTTCTATGCCCCTTAATAGTCCTTCCCTTGCACCTCTCTGTACCCCCCTTCCTCCCAAAACTACAGTTCTGCTTTATGACACTATATATTAATTTGTATTTTCTATATTTTATGTAAATGGAATCATACAGATTATATTCCTTTATGTCTGGCTTCTTTTACTCAGCATGGTTATTTTGCAATTCCTTTATGTTGTTGTGTGCATCAAATGGTTGTTCCTTTATTGCTGAGTAGTGTTTCATTGTATGGATACAGCACGATTTTTTATCCATTCATCTATTGGCAGATCTTTGGGTGTTTCCAGTTTTGGGCTATTACAAATAAAGCTGCTATGAATTAGTGTATAAATCTATGCATGAACATATGCTTTCATTTCTCTTGTGTAAATTCCTAGGGGTAGAATGGATGGATCATTTGGTATGTGTAAGTCTAACTTTTTGAGAGACTATCCCTGTTTTCTACAGTGGTTGTAGAATTTCACATTCCAACAGCAGTGTATGAGAGTTCTAGTTCTTTCACATTCTTGCCACAACTTGTTATACTCAGTCTTTCTAGTTTTGGCCATTCTAATAAGTATACCATGGTATATCTTTGTGGTTTTAATTTGCTTTTTTCTAATGACTGAAGATGCTGAACATTTTTCATGTGCTTATTTGCCATCTATTTACTTCTTTGGAGAGATGTGTACTCAGATTCTTTGTCCATTTTCTACTGGTCTGTTTCCTTATTACTGAGATTTGAGCATTCTTTATATACTCTGAATAAAAGTCCTTTATCAGATATGTGATTTGTAAGTATTTTCTCCAAGTCTGTAGCTTGTCATTCTCTCTCTCTCTTTTTTTAAGATTTTTAAATTTACTTTTTGGCAGAGAAGGAGACAGCGAGAGAGGGAACACAAGCAGGGGGAGTTGGGGAGGGAGAAGCAGGCTTCTTGCGGAGCAGGGAGCCCGATATGGGACTTGATCCCAGGACCCTGGGATCATGACCTGAGCCGAAGGCAGACGCTTAACGACTGAGCCACTCAGGCACCCCTGTCTTTTCATTCTCTTAACAGTGTTTTCGAAGCGCAGAAAGTCTTCATCTGATGAAGACCAATCAAGCAATTTTTTCTTTTATGGATCATGCTTTTGGTGGTATGTCTAAAAAATCTTTGCCTAAACCAAGGTCATATCTTTTTTTCAGATTTATACATAGATATTACTATTTTAATGTAATTATAAATGATTTCGCTTTTTAATTTAAATTTCTGATTTTTCATTGCTAGTATACAGTAATATAAATTGTTTTTGTGTATTGATCTTATATCCTGCAGTTTTGCCTAACTTGCTTATTAGTTCTCACAGCCTTATTTATTTTGGTACATAACATAGGTTTTGTAAAACATACATGTTGTCTGTGAATGAAGACATTTTACTTCCTTTCCAATCTGAATGATTTCAGTGTCTTTTTCTTGCTTATTGCATTGGCTAGAACCTCTAGTGCAATGTTGAATAGAAGTGGTGAGAGCAAACATCCTTGCCTTGTTCCTGATATTAGGGGAACACTTCATCCTTTCACTGTTATTTATGACAGTAGCTATAGGTGCTTCATAGATGCCCCTATTGAGTTGAGGAAAATTCTTTCTATTCCTAATTTGCTGGGAATTTCTTTTTTTAAAAAAGCAGGAATGGATGCTGGATTTTGTTAAATGTGTTTTCTGCATGTATTGATAATCACATAATTTTTCTTTTTTAGTATGTTAATATGAATAATATGATTGATTTTTGAATGTTAAATCCATCTTGCATCTCTAAAATAAACTCCACTTGACCGTAATGTATTTGTCTTGTTATACATTGTTGGATTCATTTTTTTACATTTTGCTAAGAATTTTTGCATCTATGCTCATGTAGGATATTAGTCTGTAGTTTTCTTTTCATATATGTATTCTTAATCAGGGTAATGCTGGTTTCACAAAATGAGTTGGAAAATATTTCTTCCTCTTCAATTTTCTAGAAGAGTCTTTGTAGGATTGGTATCATTTCTTCCTTAAATATTTGGTAGAATTTGCCTGTGAAGTCTCTGTGGCCTTGAGTTTTAACTACAAATTCAATTTTTAAAAAAAATTGTCAAATTCATTGACATGAAGTTGTACATAGTATTTCCTTATTTTCCTTTTAATATTAGTAGAATCTTTGTTGAAGCTCATATTCCTGATATTGGGAATTTGTGTCCTCTTTCTTTTCTGACCAGGTTGGCTAGAGGTTTATAAGTTTTATCAATGTTCCCAAGGAACTAGCTTTTGTTAAATTGATTCTTATTGTTCTATTTTCTATTACGTTGATTTCTGCTATCATCATTGTACCCTTTCTTCTGCTTACTTTAGGCTTTAATTGGCTCTTTTTAATTTCTATTACCTTTTATTATTTTTTAGATTTTATTTTAATTCCAGTATAGTTAACATACAGTGTTATATTAGTTTCAGGTGTAAAATATAGTTATTCAACAATTCTATATATTGTACACTCAGTGCTCATCATGATAAGTATACTCTTAAACCCCTTCACCTATTTCACCCATCCCCCCCACCCCAATCTCCCTACCTCCCCTCTGATAACCATCAACTTGTTCTCTATAGTTAGGTATCCTTTTTCTTTGTTCATCTATTTTGTTTCTTAAATTCCACATTTGGGTGAAATCATATGGCATTTCTTTCTCTGATTTATGTCACTTAGCATTAGATGCTCTAGATCCATCCATGTTATTGCAAATGGCAAGATTTCATTCTTTTTTATGGCTGAGTAATATTTCATTTATCACATCTTTATCCATTCATCTATTGATAGACACTTGGGCTGCATCCATAATTGGGCTATTGTAAATAGCGCTGCAATAAACATAGGGGTGCATATACCCTTCTGAATTAGTGTTTTCATATACTTTGGGTAAATACCCAGTAGTGGAATTACTGGATCATATGGTAGTTCTATTTTTAAATTTCTGAGGAACCTCCATAATGTTTTCCACAGCAGCTGCACCAGTTTGCTTTCCCACCAACAGTGCAAGAGGATTCCTTTTTCTCCACATCCTTGCCAACATTTGCTGTTTCTTGTGGTTTTGATTTTAGCCATTCTGATAGGTGTGAGGTGATATCTCATTGTAGTTTTGATTGGCATTTCCCCAATGATCAGTGATGTTGAGCATCTATTCATGTCTGTTGTCCATCTGGATATCTTTGGAGAAATGTCTGTTCATGTCTTTGGCCCATTTTTAAATTAGATTATTTGTTTTTTGGGTGTTGAGTTTTATAAGTTCTTTACAGATTTTGGATACTAATCCTTTATCAGATAAGTCATTTGCAAATATCTTCTCCCATTCGGTAGATTGTCGTTTAGTTTTGTTGACTGTTTCCTTTGCTGTGCAGAAGCTTTTCATTTTGATGTAGTTTCAATAGTTTATTTTTGCTTTTGTTTCCCTTGCTTCAGGAGACATATCTAGAAAAATGTTGCTAAGGCTGATGTCAGAAAAATTACTGCCTGTGCTCTCTTCTAGGATTTTTACAGTGTTGGGTCTCACATTTAGGTCCTTAATCCATTTCTTTTTAACATATATTGCATTATTTGTTTCAGAGGTACAGATCTGAGATTCAATAGTCTTGCACAATTCACAGCGCTTACCAGAGCACATACCCTCCCCAGTGTCTATCACCCAGTCACCCCATCCCTCCTACCCCATCCCCCAGGTCTTTAATCCATTTTGAGTTTATTTTTGTGTATGGTGTAAGAAAGTGGTCCAGTTTCATTCTTTTGCATTAGCTGTTTAGTTTTCCCAACACAATTTGTTGGAGAGACTGTCTTTTCCCATTGCATATTCTCGCCTCCTTTGTCAAAGATTAATTGACCACTAATTTGCTTTTCTTTTTCCAGTTTCCAAAGGTGGAAGTTGAGTTCTTTGATCTGAGATCTTTCCTCTAATGCTATACATTTCACTCCAAGTAG